TGATAACCCTCCGCTTCGATCGATGGATGCACGCGGTCACACAACATATGCGAGAGACCTTCAATGGTCGATTGCGGAGCCTTAGCGAAATTGAATAAGAAAACGACGAGTGTATGCGCTAAACGGAGCCTTCGCTCGAGAACAGAACGCTGGAGTATCACTCATACGACGCTCCGGATCCCCGCCGGGAAACGTGCGTAGAGGGGAACCTGTTTCCCGCGCGTTTCTTCCCTAAAAAGAAATTGGTGTTGCTGGCTACGACACTCGGCTCGAGATGTCAATATTTCCTCGACAATATTTCCGAAGATCTTCGAGCGACACGATTAGATCCGTCATTTTTCACCGATTGCAAGGGATCGTGAGATTGTGTGAGAGCGTGCCAAACGTCCGACTCGCTGTTTCCTTCCTTTGGGATTCTCTGCAGGCGGTCACGCCTTCCGTTCGTCGCTGCTGGTGTCACCACCGCTGCTATTCATATGGACTAGATCCTTCCGCTCCTTCTCAGTCAGTTGTCGCTCCATTCTCCCTCGTTATCTTTATCCTCTGAGCGCACCATCCCCTCGTCTTTCTCTCTCGCTCTCTCCGCCCATATTATAGTCCTATACAGCCGACCCTAAGCATATATAAAGTATAAAAGCGAGCTACATCTCACCTCTCCCTCTTATATGAGCTATTTAGCTAAGTGATTTCGAAGCACGAGCCCCTGCTCATGGCTCTACTCGCCATCCCCGCAGGGGATTGTGGTATTTTCTGAACGAGCCCATGAGGTTTAGGGGGAGCTTCCCCTCCGGTATCCTGTGTAGCATCCACATCGAATCTCTGCCTCACCTTCGGAGGTCACTACATCAAAAATAAAATTGCGTTGACAGCATCAGGGGAAGGAGGTCGATAATGGGACGTTTCTGCAACGCGTTCCACGAAAAACATGAAGAGTGGCTTCCTGTCCGAGAATCCGACGTGAGACCGTCGGTTCCGATTCATTAGGGCTCGAGTGTTTCTCCGTGAGCCAACATGGAAATCACGCTTGAAAGGCTTTTGAATAATCGTATGATCTCAGAGAAAAGTCGATAGAAGAATGTTCAGGCTTAAATTCGATCGCAGAATAAGCCCAGCATCACGGGAAACAGACAGAAGATCTCTAGGAAGGTCTTGAATCGAATCGCGTATTCAGATTCGTTGACTTTGAACGCGTTCACTGAATGGGAGGACACCTGATGAGCAGTCGCTTCTTTCAATTGATGTTGCATCGACTCGAGGCCAACAACTTCGATATCTTTGCATACGCAGATTCAGATTTGAAATGCGACAAATAAGCGCGACTATCTTGCAGGAAATTATTATTCCGCTCATTCTAGCGCACCGATGGCGGCCCGATCCGCTGCAATTAATTCCTGTAATCCTCCTCTGGAACCTACGGCCGTTCGATTTATCTGCCTGTGAGCCAATTTTGTTCAGTTTCCCCGCCGCGACCACAAGATGATCGATCGTGTAATCGATGACATGAAATGACACAAAACTTCTGGAAGTCGTCCCGAGGGCGGAGAATTTCTCCTGAGCGACGCCTCCGTTCAGCGGGATAGTTGTCGCTATCATTCCTTCCTCCTTTTTCGGATACATACGAAACTCACGCTAACTGATTAGGAGTAGCGATGATAATTAGATGAGAATACTCCTCGGAGCGTCGACGGACTGCTGCTTCGGTTCGTCGATTCATTATCCAGCTCTCGAAAAGTCGATGGGAGCTGGAGCTGTTCGACTGACTCGCCGCTCGCCGGTCGTTTCCGTCTGTGTTTGTTTTGTGTTTCACCGCCGCCGATGTCGCGCAGTGGTGGTGCGGCGGCAGCGAGCATTCGGAATCGTCGTTGTTTATAATTTACCACATCAGAAGCAATGGCATCAATAGCGTTTGGAGAAGATCCCACGAAGTTCAGAGATTTTTCTCCTATCGATATCTTGGAGCGATTGTAGCGTCAGCAGCAGAGCGAACGTCTTCGCTTTCTAATGAGATCTAATAGCGGCGAGCGGCGCTGCGATCCTTCTGTCGCTTCGAATATCTCGACGTTAAATCTGTCTCTCATTCGCCGACGCGCTCGCTGGGGCGGCTGAATGGTCTGTATCGTCGGGCTTGCCTTGTCGCGGGTCGGTTTGCCTTCCTCGGACGAACGGGCGGTCGGTCGGTCGGTCGGTCAGTCAGTCAGTCAGTCGGTCTGTCAGGGTTGTCGCGGTGTCGGATGGTGGTTTTGTCTACGATTGAAGCATTCAGCTCGAAGTTCGACTGCGGAGGGCGATCGACAGTCGACGGACTTCTTCAAAGTCGCCTAATTCCGTTATTAATGAATCTTCTAACCGGGGGTCCTGGCGCGCTCGGAACGTACTTCCCATCGTCGGCTCGCTGCTCTGTTCGTTGTCCACGCGGTCTACTCCCCGGATCGACGCAGCCCCTGCGTCTACTGACCCGAGGGAAAGTAACTCGATTCGGTGTCTGAATGATATTGTCGTAGGCTTCTCGCGATTGACGATCGCGCATCGGTAGCGATTCCTTGGTCAGCAGATCGTCGAGCGTGATTGCTCGTCAGATGCTTCACACATACGGGGCACAGGTTTCAGGAGTTCACGTCAGAGACGAGATTAGCTCCAATGATATGATTGAGCACCTATCAGAAGAGCAGGGATCGGAATTCGAATTTTCGGAGCACGTCTCTCTCCCGCGCTCGGTAGCGAAGTGGACGTCAATGAAGATGCAGTCACAGAAATATGTTTGGTCGGGTTTGCTGAACCGTTAAGTCGACTCGTCGAACATTTTTCATACGGTGCGTTTTGGCGGCTCTCACCCATGTCGGCGATCTTATCTCATTATGGGTGCGTTCGGTGTGTGTGTGAGTCTGTCTTCCGCGTAATGAGAAGGAGTGCCTGGATTCGCGGATCCTTCGTGACTCGACTTCGCCACAGCCGCTGCCGAGACTCCTGGCTATACTGCGGAAGATTCCATGCTGATTTTCAAAGCGGTTGTCGCGACGATATGCCAACTGCGACCCTTCTTATTGACTCTGGCTTCCCACACACGATGAGCCGCAATGAATTCGTGCGAATTTTCCTGGCCGGAATCGGCGGAATTTCTCTGGGGCGAGGGGAAAGCTCCCCTACGCCCATACTCTGCGGCGGCAGGGAACCTCCGCGGCCGAAGGTACATTCGTATTCCTGTGTAGCGCCGAGACGACATTCCCGGGGCATGATGACCTCGCCGAAGCTTGACGGCTTCAGATTATGATGATGAGCTCTTGCGTACACGCCAATCGAAAATTCCTAATTACTAACGGTGAACGATTGTCAGTGAGCGCAGGAATATTTGAGCAACTACCGTTTTTCTCACACGGTCATTGATCATCATTCGATGTCGGCTGCCCGTTTAACGAGTGTACTTCGACTGCAGACATTGCTTACCGAAATCCGGAATGACGGATCACCCAAAGGACCGGATATCTCCCGCAAGCCGGTGTCATCTCATCATGCTAGTGACCGAATTGAAGCGGTCATGATCATAAGCGACCCGCTCGTCCTAACCGTCAGCTCAGTATGGAAATGACAAGTTCATCTCTCATTCGTTTCAGAATCGGTGTTTATTCGAGCTTGTGGTTTATTTGCTGCTTGTTCGTTTGGTGATTCAATCACATCCGTGATTCTTCGGTATTGATACTCCTCCCTTCCTACTACCTTATCTTACCGAACATGATCATGAAAACGATCGATTTGTTATCAATATTATAATACCTTATAATCGATATTTCTCCTCTTGCAAAGTTTCTCATAATTATAATTATTCGTATTGTTGTCGTCGTATTCCCTCAACTATTATTACTTGTATTAGTCTCATCGTTTGCACCGATACATGAGTCATTGTCGCTCTATTTACAGGAAGGAGGGCTGGGAACATCGGCATTGACAACAGTTGGAATCATTCGCGGCAACGGTAGAAAGCAGCCTGTGAGTTTCATTCGTCTCTTGCTCCAGACGCGATCGTTCGGCGACAGATCGTGATTGTACATGTATGTAGATATACTTGTCGAGGGACAAATGATTTTCCTCTAAAGGCTCATCTCATATTCTTCTGAAGGATAAGCAAACGTACTCGCATTCGCACACAGGCGCACGAACACATAGAATCAAGTCGAGCTCCGAGAACGAGAGCGTCGATCGCCTTCGTCCTCGGATAATGATGACAGTGAGAACTCCGACTATCTCTCTAGTCAGGCGGACTATATCATCAGCTCGTAATAAATTAAATCGATGGAATTTTCCGCGCATCAATCCTCGCTCTCAAGCTCGGATCCCTGATCCTTGTCAGCGTCGCAGATTTCCGGAAATACCATCGTTGTGCTTGGGATCTCGGTACACTTATCTATTCGTGAAGAGGAACGAATGGATGCTTCGAAGAAGTTTGGGAGGTTGAGAGGGCCGATGAGAGAAACTTCAGGAGTTCTTGACGAGGGAATCCTCGCATCTGGGTGATCCCTCCGCACGACGAACTTTGCTTTGAAAAATGACTCTATGAAGATCTCTGAAGCTCCATTACATCCTCGATGGGAACCCTATCTACATAAACTCGAACAGAAGAGGCGGAGACGAGGATTCTCCGGTCGGAACGAGTTACCAATGCTCTATTGCCATCCAGAGAATATTTGTTTTTTTTTGGTATATACATCCGTATGTACAATCTGTCGGATTGATTTGTAGGTTACTCCGGTTCAAGTGAGCTTACGATATGTCTTCAGTTGTATTAGGTTCTCCCATTCGGTGCCCGCATCGGAATCAAGATCGATGAACCCTGGGCCAATGCGATTATGAAGGAGCTATCCGCGCTAATCGTCAACTCGCGGATGGGTTGCGGGATTCCGCAAAATTAGATGCGAGGATGACACCCCAACCCCGAAGGCTCTAACCCGTTCATTCAAAATCTAGACTTGTGTATTTGTTGACATGATTACTAATTCTCGTCGATTCGCTCATGTACTGCTACTGGTGGGCGGAGATGGTGACCGGCTCTGAGTTTCAGAAGCCGAAGTCACCGTTGACGGCGTAGACGTTGACGCCGTTGTGGCCACGGTGAAACTCAAGCCATGGGGCAAGTGAAATCTTTGCGGTGGCGCCATGTGAGAAATCCCAGTGATGAACGGATGCGCCTGACCTCCTGATAGACCTAACGCGAAAGCGGCCGCCGCAGCCGGTAGCAGGGCTGGACGGGCTGCCAAACGGAGTTTCTCAACTTCTGCTTCTTTCAAACGCTTCTCTTTCGCTCGTCGATTCTGGAACCAGATCTTCACTTGGGTTTCCGTGAGGTTCAACGACGAGGAAAACTCGGCCCTTTCGGCGATTGAGAGATATTGTTTCGCTCGGAACTTTCGCTCCAAGGACAGAAGCTGCTGGGTCGTGAAAGGAGTCCGGGGTTTTCTGTTGTTTTTGTGTTTCCGAAGTGCGCATTTCATGGCTTGAGGTGGGATTTTCGGCAGGTCGCCGCTTTCTGCAAAGAAAAGAAAGAGAGAGTTTGAATCCGGAGTTCAATACGCCGTTCAGACGACCAGCGCGTTTCGTTCGAAGATCTCGAATACCCTCGGAATCGTCAACGAGAATCGGAGACATCGAGAATTGTCGTATTGGAGCAGCGAAAATCCGAGCTTATCTTCCGCACGTCACCCCGCCCCTGGCGACTCGTCGACGTCGTTCCGGAAGCCACGAATCCACTTCAAAGGGTCCCGACGCCGTACTCTCGCGTGTTTTCGTTCCCTCTCCTCCGCTATCGTTTGGCCTGTGTCAACTAGCGCAGTTTGTTGAGAACGGCTGACTTTCAGAACATACCGCCACGTACTACGACTACCACCGACGTTGACTCGTAGAAGATGACGAAGACCGCGCCCCTTGTGTAGCTATCATAAAACACGAGCACACATTAGCTCACCCGCTTGCCTGTCGGTCCGGCCGACCGACCGCCCGCTCACTCACTCGTTGGCATACAAACACTTACAAACACTCTCATGTCTATAACAAACGCAGTTTCATCGTAAAATGATGTCGCTTCATTTTTGCCACAGAAAAGAGAACGAACCGTCCTTTACGAGTTATTGTGTGCTAAGCGAGTATACTTATTCGGTGCAAGCGCTCGTATCGTCGTCCACCGGACCAATGTTCCATCATTGTTCTTCAATAACTCCATCCACTGGCTGGATTCACGATTGTCCCTCGAACGATCCATTCGGATCGTCGTCGGTCAACAAAATCTTGATACACATATCTCTGATCGACGTAAATTGTCGGTCTCTGTCTTCTGAGTTTCTGTGTTTGCATCGATGTGTTGGTGTGTATTTTAGGCGGTGCCTTTATCCGTATTTTCATACTACTAGGTATCATTGCGAGAGGGCGGTCCGGAAAATTCCTCTTTCCTGCACATAAACGCTCGCTGTGATATGGTGAGCTTCATTCGAGCGTAGGCTGAACACCTCTTGCCTCTCTCCGATCATTATTTCCATGATGATTAACAGTAAGCGCGGCTGTTGTTCGATGCCCATCGCGGGAATACCTTGAAGAGAGCGCGCCGATGTACTCGACGGAGGCATCGCGTCAACACGATTCGAGCCTTCTGATTCAGACATGCGAGAGCGATGGAGTTGGATGGTAAGTGATTCACCGAGAATGCGATCGGATAAATGGGATCGACAAGGCCATCGATCGCCGGCTCGAGCGGAAAGCCGATCTCCACTCTCGAGGATCTAATTCAGCGTTCGCGTGCGATCGACTCTGCGTGACATCGAATTCCCATCGTGCATAAACAATTGCCCTGTTCTATCGAGATATTTTCATCGTTTAGAACGAGGACCTGAATGTCGCTACCTTTGAGCATTCCGGGGATATGCCTCGGGGTCGGCAGTTCGGCAGGATTTAGCGGGTCCTCGATCAGGAACTGCGATCGCAAGCAGAGCGAGCTCTCGGCCGAAAACGACACAATCGAGACCAGGTCCGGCCTGTGACGACTCTGAGTTCCGTTTCGGAAATTTCCAAGCGACCTGACGATCGTTCCTCCGAGCTTCCGATTTCCCGAAAGGGCAAGATACGACTGTCGAAGCCCATCCTGGATCAATCCCAGTCGTTCGAGTTTAGGGAGAGCACTCGGGACGGCCACCCTTGTTTTCAGTCGATGCACGCGGCGAACAGCGAAAAGAAGCTCAATTCGCAGTGGAACTAGTCGACAAATTCCGCGTCGACAAATTATTCCTCGGCGACTGCCTTGATTTAGCGCAGAACGCTGTTCCTCTTTGACGCTCCATTCCGTTACTTCTCTGTTCAAATCCAGTGAAATTCGGATGGGAGAAGGGATCGCCTCGCGTGAATGATTTTCGGTTTATTGTTCGCAGAATTTCAATTTCGTAGTTCTCTTTTCTGGCAGTAGTTGGAGCGGTTCCTCCTCCTCTCCCGGAGGATGACCACGTTAGTAATTTAAGTTGAAAGGCAAAAGAAGATATCTTACGCCTGAGAAAAGAGAACGTCCCTGTTCTTCATTTTATAGAGCCATCATCGCACCGCAGGAGCTGTGGCCACATCTCACCACGTGCTGACTTCAAAATCCGTCGATTTCGAAACGTCGGCTCTGTGGCTCGGATCGTTCCTTCATGAACTTGACTCTGCTAGATCCGAATCTGGTATGATTGGTCAGCCGGAGTCGTCTTAATACATTCGCGGAGCTATTGCTCCACGGAGCTGATTTCCGTAGTGTGGACTCAATCGGCGAGGATCGAAGTTATGCTTCGCGGAAATAGTCGTACGATGGGACTGTGTTTACGACAAACCATTCGCTGATCGGTGTTGACCCTTTTGAGACGGAACTCTCGACCGGAAATTCACCGGAGACTTCGAAATTGTAAAGCGCTGCCGAGAAAACACAATGAGTGGAGTGTTATTGCAAGCTGTATTGAAATAAGTATATTAAGCATCGTTCACTTTATAGGCTCATCGGATTCGACCGTAAATTGCGAGATTCCGGTTGAGCATTCCGCAATCGAGATTTGGGATCGCAAGAGCCTAAGCCACCGGGCGAAGGATATACTCGAAAACTATCAGCAGCAAGATTCGTCGTCAGGAAGCTAGCAGACTTTCGAATGTCACTCGTAACATGACGCACGCCCCGCGATATACGTCTAAAAGTTTATTCACCGTTCGGCTCCTACTCGCGAGCCCGGGGTGGGGGGAGCTTGTGAAGATTTGGCAATTGGATTCTAAGTGGCGGATGGATTTTCGACGCCTCGTTGCCTTCGGTCGTATGTGAGATGCCACCATGGATGCATGTCCCACATCGCGCGTCTGCTACAGATAAGCTCCCTCTCGGTCGTTCTCGCTATGGATCGCTTCCTGGTTTCGTGTTTCGGTCGCCTATATTCTGCTGTTCTCTGACAGTGAATAGGCCCCGAATCCTTTGCTTCCGTACTTCAATTAGAACTCGTCGTTTGAGCGTTTTTTTCCCTCAATCCGAGCATGCAGTCCTCGGATCTCGCCAGTGTAGACACGGCTCGCAGGAAATTGTAATTCCTGAAATGAGCAGCGGACGTCGACGCGATAGCGATTGCACCAGCCGCCGCGGCGCTTGTGCTTCTGCCTCCGCGCTGCTCAATCGATATCGTTCCCAGCCGAAAGGACCGTTTTCCGAATGCTGAGGATAGGGAAACACTCGCACAGGAATCACTTGATGACGGCGCTTTGGTCGGTGTCTCATCTTGCTGTCGGTTGTGCTTTCGTGTAGTTCGCTCAATCTCGCAGTTTGTATCACTGTCCGGAGAGTTGATGTCTTTATAGAATACCTAGCACACTGGGGCCGAACACGCGACGGAACACTCCATCAGCTCCATATGGAAGCCGACGACGACTGCCGCTACGGTGTTACCGAGGCTGAGCTTGATCGGATCGAGTCTCTTGTCGCTCGTCCCGCTCTGCCTACAGGACATACTGGTATCAACAGGAAGTCCTAATTCGTGTTCCCACACAGGCGCGCACAGGCTGGGATACCGTTAGCCGAATAGGCCCGGGCTGCACAGCTAGCTGGATGGGTGTTTGCTTTATCGGATTCGAGACACCCGAATCACCTTGTAAGCTCTTTTTCCCAAAGGGCGTGCTGTGCAATTTCTTCCTCAACCTGTCCAGGCGAATCCATCCGCGAACTCCAGCTCCGTAGGAAAGGAGAGTCATCCGACGCCTAACTTGACGAAGATCGTGTCGCGATGCACTTGGTCGTTGTCATGACTTCCATACTTGTTTCTGTTGTTTGTCGAATCGTGCGTCCGTCAGAGACGTCCGTCGGCCTTTCTACCAACACAGACATCTATCTGTGAGCGGTCGTTCTGCTTCTCCTTCTTCATTTTCTAATAATTCTAATCCGGTAATTTATGCGGACGATTAACGCCCGCTGCTCTCCCAGGTAGCAGCAGTCGGATCGTGCTGTCGAGACGAAGCACATGGAGTCGCCAACGACGCCGAGGACTTCAACGACGTCAATATCTCCGGCCACGATTTAGCGGCATCTCGTAGCAGCTTGGGGCGCGCAGCTTTTTTCACAACTTCAAAAGAAATACGAGCAAGACAAAACCGCGGACAGGATTGGAAGGAGATTCTCAAACGGAGAAGACCGACAGCGGAGAAGAGATGTCCGCCGACAGCTCTATCGGCCAATAAATTTCACAAATGAATTAAAACTCGATCCGATACCATTAGCACAAAATTTAAGCTTTTCCTGTGCGGGCTCCTCGTCGCTGCCGCAGACGAGTACGGCACTATGGGAACTACCGTGTTCACTGTGATTGACTGCGACAATCGAACTCGAAGCGAGTCCATTTGGAGCCGGTCCCGTCGCGCTGAGCCCGTGTCCTGTGTGGAATCTTGCAGAGCCCTATCGTTCCTCCGGACCCTCGCCGAATAATTCAGACTCTCGCGTTCTTTGCACATGACGCCCGATCTGCAGTATCCACCGGCTCGATCGGCTGTCGATGCCGATCTGAAAGCGTTCCGGTGTCGTCTTCGAGGGTCGACGCCTTATTCGTCCGTTTCTTGATTTCTCCACGCTGTGTTTCAACGGGGAAATCTGACCAATAACGCTTCGGGGACAATTCCGACGCTCTGCCGTCGGCGTTTCTTCTTTCTTCTCGCGTTTAGAGAAAGTTGAAACTAAAAGTGAAGAGCTCCCAAACGAGAAACACGTCAAATCCCGGATACATCGGTAGCTGGACCCGCGTCTGGATGTACGGCTTGCCCGCTCAGTCGGTCGCCGGGTCGTATCCAGCTCTCTGCAGGGGTCGGTCGTTGTTGACCAGGAGTTGGTTTGCCGATGTTCGAGCGAAGCAGCTTCTCTCGTCGAGATTCGTGCGAGTCTCAATTAATTGTGCCGATTCGCTTCTGCGGAATTCGGTGCGAATTTCGTTCCCGGACTCCTCTCGGCTAAATCCGCGTGTAACTTCTTTCAATGATCCGACCGCTGACGGAGCATGT